GGCAACTGATATATCGGATCATTATTTAGTTATAGCTACAGTTAGAGTAAGGGGTAGAGGGGACAAGGGGAAGGTGGCAACAGAGGAGGAAGGAAGTGATAAAACTAGGGAGGAGGAAATTTGAGGAGTTTAAAAGCGACTATTGGCAGAAAGGGGGGCTAAGAAAAGATGAGTGTGGGGGGGTTGAAGAGGTTGGATGATTTTAAAAAAAAGCAGTATTAGAATGTGGGGAGAATTTTGTGGTTATAGGAGGGGGGCAGGGGGAAGGGGAGGGTTTGGGTGGAATGATGAAGTAAAGGGTGTGATAAGGAAAATTAGCTTAAGAGGTTTTAAAAAGCAAAAGTGTTAAAGAAGGCGGTTATGGAAGTAAAAAAAAGGGGGAAGAGAGTGCAAAAGGAGAGAGATGATAGGGGGGGGAGAGGCACTGTAAAAAAGAAAATAAAAAAAAAATTTTGGAGTGACTTAAAAATTTAAAAAAAGCCTAGGAAAGTATGGATTTGTCATTTAAAAACAGAGTAGGGGAGTTATTAGATGGGGAGGGGAGGTATTAGGTAGATGGCGAAAAATTTTTTGAGGAACTTTTAATGGGGAGGAAAGAAAGGGAGGCGGAAATTTATGCACGGGGAGGGGGTTACCATCTTTTAGGAGTGAAGAAGAGAAAAGTAAGTGTGGGGGGAGGTACGTGAGGATTACGGGAAGAAAGGGGTAAAAGCTGGAACTGGGGGATCACGAAAGAAAATGTCAAAAGCAGGGGATGATATAGTGTTGGAGTGGTTGGTACTTTTGTTTAATATTTGTAAAAAAGGGGGGAAGGTCCCTGGGTTTTGCAGAGAGCATTAAATCTCTTTATAAAAGGGGAAAGGGGGGAAAAAAAAGGGATTGTAAAATTTTATAGAGGAAAAAGTTTATTGATTTCCCGGGAAAAAGTTACGGTAGGGTTATTTTTTGAAAAAATTTAGGGGTAAGACAATGTAAGATTGCGTGAGCAAGGGGGTTTCGAGGGGGTAGGGGATGTGTAGATCAAGTGTTTTCTTGAAGCATAAGGAACAGTATTTAGTAAAGGGAGGAAGTTTTTATTGCATTTATGGGTTAGAAAAGGCATTGATAGAGTGGATAGGGGGGCAAGTGGCAGATGGTGGCAAATATATGGAATAGGGGGTAATTACTAAATTTCTGTAAAGAGTTTTTATGACGATGGAGGCTCAGGTTTTGGGTTGTAGAAGAAAGGGAGACTCTTCCCGGTAAAAGTAGGTCAAAACGGGATGGTTTTAAAGTCACCCCTGGTTTTTTAATATATTTTCAGATGGGGTTATAAAAGAAGTAATGCTGGGGTTTGGGGGAGGGTGGGACAATTATGGGGAATCAAATACAAAAAGGGAAGGGCACAGTTACTTTTGTGATTATACTGTGCTTATGGGATTCTAAAGAAAAATTGCAAAGGTTTGTGGATGAGTTTGGGAGTGTGTGTAAAGGTAGGGGAAAATTTAAAGGGGAACATAGAAAAAGTAAGGTGATGAGGGATCAAATGATTTTGATAAAGAAAATTGGATATCAAAAATTGGGGAGGAGGAAATTTAAAAGTGAAGGGTTTTTGAAGGATGGGGTTTAAACAGGGAATTTATGAAAGGAAAAAAGGGGTGGTGCGTTGAGGTTTTGTGGAGTCAAAAAAAATTATTTTTTGGGGGAAAAAAGAGAATGTTGAAATAAGTAGTACCAACATCTTACATGGGTGAAGCTTGGGTTGTAATGCAGCACGAGGGGCGGTTGGAGGCGTGGAGAGCTTTCTAAGGGCAATGTGTGGGGTAAATATTTGCAGAAAATTCGGATGTGGAAATTAGGAGAAGGGGTGGGTTAATAAAAGTATTAGTAGAGGTGAAAAAGGGGTTGTTGGGTGGTTTGGTCTTTAGAGAGATGGGGTCAATGTAGAATGACATGGGAGCATTTAAATCTGTAGGGAAGGAGGCGGGGTAGGGGTCCCTCGAAAAGGTTGGAGGGGGAGGGAGTTTTGTGGGCGGGGGCTTGGACTTCCCGAGGGGGTCTGAGCGCTATGATGGGGTGAATGGGACGAAGGTATTTGGGTGCGATCTGTTGGGGTGTGAGCAGGGGAATATTTAGTGAAGGGGTTCAGGAAACCGGTTATTTTTATATAGCCGACTTGAGTCCCAAAATGGAATCAATGCCGCCTCAAAAGGGGGGGGTTTTGGGTATTAGCAGTTTGGAGGGGGTA